CTTTTCTTCAATTCCTAAAAACTTTGCTCACAAACATCTGTCCATTTGAACTTCATCCCCTTTCTATTTAATTTCATTAAAGAAGAAGCTATTTTTAAAAATCCTTCCACAAATCTACGATGATATCCAGCTAAACCCTTATCCTCTAAACTTCTGAAGGGATTGTAGGCCGAAGCCAAATATTACATACCCTAAAAATACGACTTTGTCTAACCAAAATTCACATTTCTTAAATTGGCATATAACTGCTTGTCCTTTAAGACCTGAAGTACTATCTTCAAATGTTCAGTATGGTCTTCTCTAGCACGAGAATAAATAAGGATGTCATCAATAAATACAGTGACAAACTTATCGAGAAAATCCTTAAATACCCGATTCTTCAAATCCATAAAAGCTGCCGGAGCATTTGTCAACCCAAACGGCATCACTAAAAACTCATAATGACCATATCACGTACTAAATGTTGTCTTAGAAATGTCATCTTCCTTTATCTTTAGTTGATGGTATCCAGAGCGCAAATCAATCTTTGAGAACATAGCTGCACCCTAAAGTTAATCGAACAAATCATCAATCATCGATAGTGGATATTTATTCTTAATTGTTACCTTATTCAATTCTCGATAATCTATACACAATTTCATTCTAGCATCCTTTTTCCGAACAAGTAATACAGGTATACCCCACGGTGAAAAACTAGGTCTAATAAAATATTTGTCCAATAACTCTTGTAATTGTAACTTTAACTCTTTCAATTCGATTGGGGCCATTCTATATGGGGCTTTGGAAATTGGAGATGTTCCAAGAATTATATCAATCACAAACTTTATTTCACGATCTGGTGGTATCCCAGGTAGGGATAACAAAAAAGTTCGTCAGCTTGGACGGTCCGGCCTCGACCACGGCCAGGAAAAAGCCCGAGCCGGGCCCGACTTAGGCTTGGTTACACCGAGTCGAAGCTCAGGCTGAGCCCCATTTTGGGGCGTTGGCTCGAGCCCTGGCCGACCCGTAGCCCGAGCGAGCTTGCCCATTATTAAAAAAACCACTTTCTCCACTTCTGAGACTCTACTGTATCTAAATATGTTTTCTAAAGTTCTCAACAAATCATCTGTTGCTGTTGGGTCTAATGCATCCTCAAATATTGGAGGGTTTAATTTTCTAAATCATTCCCCAAATATCTCAATTTGTTCAGCTCATTGTGGTGGTTGCACGAATTCAGCCTTTTGTTGTTCTCACCTCTCTTTATGTTGCATTAATTGCTGAATTTGTTGTGCTTAGCGCTCCACCAGCTCTATAAGTCTATCAATAACCACATCCCTATAATATATTATCTGTGACACTTGCTTCTTGCCTTGGAGTTCTAGTTTTTCCAATGCATTCACTTCTTACCATAACTGAATATCTATTTACAAAACAGTAGTAATGAAGTATCCAACATGATTGCAAGAAAATAAAACTTACTGGCTTAGCTATGATCTTTCGTACTCCGAGATCATGTACATGGACAGTCTACAGAATTATAATCTTGCACTGATACCACTCTCTTTAACACCACATTCATATAGATAATAATATACTAACCAGTGTAGGAATACAATTGATTACTTAACCTAGACATAATTCACATACACATCTTTTTTTTTTTTTTTTGATAAAATGAAAGCATCTCTACCAATATATCCTTGTACATACTTAATCAAAACCGATATCAATATATTTTGAAACCACATACTCAGTGATTATAACCATCATATGATATACAATGAGCACCTTATCAAAGTTATGTAAAGATTCCAATATTAATATATCGTAAATACTATGTTCCTGCATCGTAGTTGCAAATGGATTTTTATTTACATTTTTGCCCTTGTGTGTGCGCGCACTTCTACGGAGTGTAAACCAATTCTCTTATTCACTTAAATTTAGAGAATCACCTGTATTACCATCTAATATTAAACGCAATTCTCAGTTATATAATTTTAACACACACACAATCACGTGTTATGTTCATTCATGCCAAAATAATTTAGATGACATTAGCAATTCAAGTTACCGATTGCATTGCAAACTAATCCCATAAATTATACTTTTTCTCTAGTCCAATTATGAATGTCAACGTCATCCAATTGTTGTTAACATCCTAGTACTCCTTAAAATGTATTTTACATGCCTAAGAGATACTTAATGGACAGGTAAAGGTTGAATCTAAGATAAATACACAAATGGACAGAATCTGTTTTCAGGTTTCCGTCGCTGTCCAAGTATTTTTTTTCTAATCCTTTTTCACACCCTTAACTATATCCAATAATTCTCAATTTTTTACCACAATTCTATAATATGTATGTAAAGGTAATCATGCCATAAATTTGTCACGAGTGAAGGGTTTACAGCTTCGAAGGCATTCCATTTTACAGACACCAAATCAAACAATTTTCCTCATGGCTGTTTTGAGTTTCACTTGAACTAGACTTTCAAAAATTAGATTCTAACATATTAAAGATCATTTCTATACTTCTAACTCTTGTATAAAAAAATATTGATAAATATAAGTTATACCTAATAGATTACTTAAAATCTAAGGTTAAACCATTCAAGTCTAGCAATCAACATCTCTGTCAAGGTTACTTTCTTTCAAGTTCTTGTAATTAATTGCCCCAATTTNGATAACTTGAGGATAACTTTGGGGTTAAGTATCCTATTTAGGGGCTATATAAAAAATTTTAAGGGTTGGGTCGTGCTTGACACTTAAGGATGAAGAAATTGGTAATTAAAGGACAAGTATCTCCAAGGAGGTGTCCAAGCAGGATGTGGCTTCATGCAGCCATATTGGACTTTTCCTTTCTCATATTTGGAAATTCATATGTGACTTATAAGATATATATCCCTCCAATATAAAGTACTAAGACTTTAGAAGACGTGACGGAGGCCTTAAGATTGAAGGAATTTAATGGTAAAGTGACAGTCATGACATGTTAAGTAGGAGGTGTCTCTTTCTAGTTAAATTCTGATTTTGTACCAATCCTTGGCCGGTTTATATGAAATTTAGGGATAATATGCTACATATTTGAAGTCTTAAAGGAGTGGTAGATGTGGCTAATGCTTAAACATGAAGGAATTTACCATTACAAGGAAAAATCAATAGGTAGGAGATGTACCAAGCATGAGGTAGTCTCTTGGGGTTGAAATCTGATTTTGTACCTATCATTACAGGTACAAATCAAGTATATTTGGCTTATTTAATATGTTTACGATTCACTTTACTTGCCATAAGATCCCAAAATATTTTATAGAGCTAATTCCTTAATCGTTCATTCATTACCTACCCGATTGACACCCAATTCTCGACCGATTTGCACCTCATTGTTTATAACGTCATATAAGCCTTATCTTATTGCATTGTGATCATGTTACTTCATGCCTCATGTCCCAAATGTGTCAATACCTATCTAGGATTTAAGGCTACCTTGATCAATCGAATGGAGAACTTGCAACTTTGTCGATACTAATTCCAGCCCTTTGAATATTCTCATTGCTTAATAGTCAATCTCCAACATTCAGATTAATCTTTTTTTCAACGTAAAATTCACCACCTAGGTCAAGGACTAAATGGCTACACCATACCAAGGTCTTAAAACCTCAATAATCGAATGCATTATTTTAAGATAAAGCAATTAAGAAAATTGATGCAAATGACATTATAAATAGCATGAAATACATGAATCATATTGGCCAAATGTGATGTGAAGTCCGGGGTATTACATTGGAACTTAAAAAAAAGTAGGATTTACGGTAAATATTTCTATAATCAATCATACAAGTGCTTTTTAAGTTGAATTTTTTAGTGTTCAACTCTTCAATAATTTAAGTTGAATTTTGTAGTGTTCAACTCTTCAATTATTACTAAATGATCCTATCAGTGACAGAGCTCTTTCATAAAGTAACTTCAATTTGTTATTTTCATTTCCGTCTTTACATTGTTGCTTTTGCCATTTTACATTTTGTTGACTTGGTTTGCTATGGATACATTCAGAGTTTTGTTACTAATGGAGCTCTAAAGCTAAATGAAATTGCTCAATATTAAGCTGAAATTTTCAAACGCTCTTAAGGGTAAAATCACACATCGACGAAATATAAAATTATTAGCATTCACATAAAGGAACTTAATGGTTGGCATTTAAAGACGGAACTCCAAATTTTAATATGGTATTATAGTACATTAAACTGAAACAAGTAAATTAATCCTTCTAAAAAACCTTGAATCTCAACACAATAAATTACATTTCAAATTGAGACTAATTGTCTAAGCACACCAATAATGAAACAAATTTAACAATCCAGTGACATGATTTCAGATAGTAATTGGGGATAATTACAGCAACGTTATCAAACATTTCATCACAGCTGAAGTTCAAATGGATGGTTTTTGTTAGTTTGACCGTTAGTTGACAAAATAATTGATCTTGACAATTATTTTGACTAATTTTAAAAGGTTAAAATTGTAACTTTACATTTTTTATAATAAAATATCCAAAATCAAATAATTAAAATTAAATCCATTTTCACATTCTTTTCCATCCACCCCACACATACCAACCCCATCCCAAATCTGGAAAATCAAAACCTAGAATTAAAGCAGATAGTTTTGCCTTTTGCCGTCTGCTTTTGGAGCACCTCGAGGCTGACCTTGTATTTCTCATTTTTCTTGTTCACATTTACACCCTAAAGACATCTCTCTGGGTGCTACTGTGTGTGTGTGTGTGGTTTTTGAATGGAGTTTTCAAATCCTCAGCTTGTAATGTATCGAAACGATTACCGAAAGCTTCTTGAGTTTCTACTATCATTGGGCTCGATCAGAGAAATCAAAACTCCGGCCGGCCTCACTACCTCGATTTAGAACATCGATTTCGATTCTCTTAGTATTGATTACATATTTGAATGTATTAAGTTCGGCAATTTAATTGATTTGTGAAGTTATTATTTAGTTTTGATTTTAAACTAGCAGTTTAATATTTAGCTACAATATTAGTCATTAATTGACTACTTTGAAGGACTTGATCCGAAGAAAGCAACCATGTTTTCTTCTTCAGACTCTTGTAGTATTGATTATCAAGCTTATTTGGAGTTGCAACATCCAGATTAACCATGTTGTTAGTTTCTCGATTTGGACATTTCTTTTTCATAAAAGATGCATATTTCGAATCCAGATAAGGATCCTGTGAATCAGTAGAATTGAATGAATAGAGTCGATCTGCAAAACTTTGGAACAGGGAAATTCCAATTGAATGAGCTCCTGAAAATGCCACCATTTGTGAAATAGACATCCCTTTTCGGGTGAAAAATCCCAAAATTAATTCAATAGCTGGCTTTGGTTCTAATAGGAGAAATGAAACCCACCGCACTAAAATAATAATAACACTAATAATAATAAATCAATTACTACCCTTAAAAACTAATTAAATTTATAACTTTTTTAGATGCCCAAAATCCCCCAAAAGCTCAGGACAAAGATAATGGACTTGATTCACCTTTGTCCACAAGCCGTAATACTTACAAGAATTAAAGCAGTAATCCTAAGAATTTTTATATTAGTAGTTATAATAAAAAGTGACATAACAAATAGTAACATGGTTTAATAGTGTTTAAATCTTACGTATTTGAAAAGTGAGCCTACAAATATTTATCTCAAAAGTATAAATGATGTATAGAAGTCTTACATTCGTTATTTTGCTCTCATTTGTCTCCATAACAGATGAATACATTAATTTTATCCATATTTGTAAAAAGAATAAAAATAAAATAATATGAGAACTTTTCCCCAAAAAAAAAGTGACAAAGCATGTCACTTTTATGCAACATAGATTTCCTTAACCTAAGCTTCATTCCCGCTTCTCACAATTATAGTGAGGTAACTCACATTAGACCTAGGTACTGCAAACCATTGATTAGGAACAACAAACAAGATCTAGCTATTCATGTTAGATTCTTGACAAATCAAATGAGTCACTTGGTTGAATTGATGACTAATTGACTAAAATTACATCATCTTCTAAGAAGATTTAGATCAAAAAGTCAAAGTGATGTTGTTGATTGTGACATTGCTCGTGTTGCTCTTAAAGGTAAGAGCACTTGTGGTCCTCATTGAGTAGGTATTTAGGTTCATGTATCTACATTGTTCATAGTATCTATATATACATGCATGCACTCATTTTTTTTTCTTTTGCATTATCCTTTTTAAAATGAAAAAAAAAAATTAGAAAATATAAAAAAGGGAAAAAGCAAAAAAAAAAAAAAAAAGATTTTTTATGTGATAACACTTCTAAAGTTATATCATTGGACATTTTATTTTGTAATCAAGTATTAGTAAAATTAATAAATCGTGAATAAAGGTTCAATTAACTTTGTTTAGAACTTATTTGGAGTACTTGGTATAAGTTTTTTTCGTGTATCGTTTACACTGCACACATTAAGCTCTTGTAAGTGAGTATTGACCGCGTGTGTGAGATTTGAGATGACGATCATCGGTGTGGTGAGGTGACTTTGAATATGAATTGATTTTTAATTTGTTAACCTGACCTTTTGTATATGGATTAATCTAAATGTACACAATCCATTACATAATGGATTATACCCCCCTCACATGGAGAGGGGCTCACACACAATAAAATATTCATGGGCCCCCCTCCATGTGAGGGGGGTGTAATCCATTAGGTAATGGATTGGATGTACATCTAGCATAACTCTTTGTATATTCCCCTAAAAGAAAAAGATTATTAAGCTTCAAAATACTTGAATTTATAGAAACATTGTGAGATATCTTATACTTTTCTTCATAACTTTTATAACTAAAATAATTAAGCATGTTGGGTATCTTAAAACTTGGTTCGCTATAGTTATCTTATGTGGGAGTCATTCGACTAAAGCTCGTTACAAGGGTCATTTGGTAAGTTCAATGAAGAAAAGTCTACATATAAGTTAGAATGAATTATATATGCTCATGGATAAGGGAGAGAAAGAAAATTTATACAATGAAAAATTAAATACGAGCTTTTTTATTACAAGGTCCTAGTAGCATTGAATTTGATTTTTATAATGTGAGGAAAACATTCTTTCACCAGAGATTTCTTTGTATGTCATCTCACTGATTTAAGGTTTTGAGTCTTGCTTACAGAATATTAGTGCAACTTTTCACACATGAGTTGCATATACAATTTACTCTATATAGGTTTAATATGAGTTATGTGGAAAAAGTTCTCTATTTATAAATTATACATGTATAAGTAAATAACTGTTCACGAAATTTGAGCTTTCAATAGTTAATGTTATATTTAAAAATTCATGATGAATTATCATATCATATATTTTGCATAAGTTTGCATATTTTGTCTATGTGCACTTTTTAATCATTCCTCTCTGTGTTATTCGTGACAAAAAGGGGAGAAAATTTATTTAGAAAATTGTGTAGATATGAGTGAGGTATTTTAGAGAGTTGTGTAGTATATGAGTGAGGAGTAGTAGTTATTTGATTTTGATATATAGTCGGGAGACCTTGATATTTGATGATTGATGATCTAAGTAGCATGTTTTGATACCTTGCGGTATTGATGTTATGTTATGTCTTTTGTATAATATCGATATCATACTTTGTTTTGCTAGTTTATCTATACTTCTCATCTTGTTATAGTTTAAATTCTAAGTTATGTACATAGTATTAAATGCATTGGTGTTACACATGTTTTACTTCTGTTGTTTATATAACTTAGTTAAATATTTTATTGAGTTCCCTCTTACTTTTATACATGGTATTGTTGTTTTCATTTGTTTCAAGAAACAAGTATAACAAGAGTTGAGTTAAAATTTGGGAATTAAGTCTTCGGGTTAATAGTATTAGGCTCATTTGATTTTAGTTTTGAAATAAATGATTTTGTCAAGAAATACAGGGGAGTTTGTTAGGTCCTAATTGTAATTAGCTATTCCCATGTTCAAAATTATAGATATTGAGTTGTAATTAAAGTCAAAATAGCTAGGGGTTGGTATTATAGGTCTTCAAGAAGTCAAAGAAGTCAAAAATGGACCAAGGAGAAAAGGTCGCTACAAAACTGCTCGTTGAACGGCCATGGCATGCTCGAGTGCCTAAAATAGTAACATAGCTACTCGACAGTCGCTATGATGGTGCTCGAGTGGTAGATCGATTGCTCGCTAGCGGCCAACTTAGTACTCGAGCGACGTATTTATCCAGGAGAAGACCTAATCGCGATTTTAACAGTTTTTCCAATCCTATTCAACCTCAAACACTACCTATTATATGTACATCCCAAAGGGTGTTGAATCATTATTTCATATTAGAGACACATAATTGAAGATCAATTACACATCCAAAGTTCTCTTGATTCAATAAAAAGATCAAAGCTTCATTTCTAAAGGGAAAATTGCAGTATCACCTTTCATTAAGTAGCATATTTTTTCCAAACCTTTCATTTGTGCCACCTACGGTACCAAACCTTTCAAAATATTGCAGTTGGAGTCCAAGTGGATGAAAACTGTTAGTTTGACAGTTAGTTGACCAAAAATCAAAAGTTTGACCAAATGTTGACTAATTTCAAAAGCGTAAAAAGGTTCTATTTTATATATAAAATAACTAAAACAAAAGAATTAAGTTAANTCGCAATCACGGTACCAAACCTTTCAAATATTAGTAGATTTTGTCCAAACCTTTCATTTGTATCACCGTGAGTACCAAACCTTCAAAAAATTCGCAACTTAAGTCCAAATGGGTGGAAACTGTTAGTTTGACTCCAAAAAAATTATTTTGACCAAATCAACAAATGGCAAAATGGTAACTTCATAATTTTTAAATAAAAAAGGGAAAATAAAAAAAGGTAACACTATTCACCTTCTTCACAAATCTCATCCACCGCCACCCCCACCCCACCCCGCGTTGCCTATTCCAGGGTCGACAATTGAGTACCTTTTCACCTTCAGAAATTCATCAATGGAGGAAAAGCATAAACAAAGAGAATCCAATTTCTTTACCTTTCTTCAAGAAACACTCCCCTTTCTTTGTTCAAACACTCTATTCTCCACCATCTTCACTTTCTACACTCTCATTCTATTGTACTTCCCAATTTTTTTTTTCATGGACTTATTTTGTCCCCTATCCTAATTTTCACCTCAATTATCTTACTCTATCTTCTCAATCTTGGTGCAAGTCAATAAACCTAAAAGGAAATTGGATCCCATTCCCTGGAATTCGATTCTACCCAGAAACGATTGTCGCAGAATGAAGAATTTTCTAGTCATGATCTCAATTGGGTTTCGTGTGAATCCCATGTCGACCCAAATCAGAATTTGAATTTGGGTCCAAGTTTTTTGGTTGACTGTTTTGTGGAATGGGATGTGAGGGCACCATTGGAGGCTATACATGAAGAATACGAAGGTGAAGAAGGAAACCTGGAGTTTTGGGAGGAAAACAGAGATGTACATATGGCTATAATTGAAAAATACGCATCTTTGTCACTATTACCCCGAAACCGACACAAACACTTCATCGGAAGGAGATTCCCCGACGACTGAAGACTGGGAGTCATCTGAGAATTTGTGCTTCTGGTGTTGTCGGCCCAAAATAGGCGACGCATGGTGGGGGTGGGGTTAGATGAGATTTGTGAAGAAGGTGATTAGTGTTAGTTTTTTTATTTTCCTTTTTTTATGTTAAAATTATGAAGTTACCATTTTATCTTTTGTTGATTTGGTCAAAATAATTTTTTGGAGTCAACTAATAGCCAAACTAAAGGTGTTCACCCATTTGGACTTGAGCTGCGAATATTTTGAAGGTTTGGTACTCATGGTGATACAAATGAAAGGTTTGGGTAAAGTCTACTAATAAATGAAATGTTTGGTACTGTGTTTGTAATTTTCCCTATAAAATACATAAAACAAAAGAATTAAGGCCCTGCTTGATTGCTCTTTCTTTTCCATGGAAGATGGAGATTAAAATTCATTTCCACATTTTTGCATATTTAATTGACTAAATTTTCCATGGAATTGGTTTTTCCATATTTTCTTGATTTTTGAGGAAAAGTTTTTCCCATGGATTTGGTGGGAAAAGCTTTTCTATGCATTTTTTTTTAATTGAAATAAATTATATCCTCAATTGTAACAAATTATATCCCTTCAATAGACAATTTTCATGTAAAATAAAGTCAAACAAACACAAAAAGATCCAAAATTTCAATATTTTTCAAGTGAAAAATTATACAAATCAAACACAATTAATTGACAATTTCCGGTTAAACAATTTTTAGGCAATTCAATT